ACCATCACCGTAATCATTACAACTCCCTTGTTGATCCCCGTCGGCTAACAATCGGTGCGGGACTCGGTTTTAGCTCTTTGCAAGGGGTAATAGTTTACAACAAACATTTCCATACCGTTTTGCTTAATAAATGCTTATATTGCTATGATGATTGATGTGATTTCTTGTACTACAGAGGAGTGTTGATAAGGATCAAATAAAAGCAGCAATTAAGGCACAACAAGACCAACAAATTGATAAGACCCTTCTAGCTGAGGGATGCTTTTACTCGGATCTTGAGCTGACTGAGAAAGAAATAGAACGTATGGTGATGGAAGCTTCCAGGGCAGAATATCTTGCCAAACACAAGTTAAAGCAACAACCCGGTCACAGAGAGTCGTCCACCTCTGGTGCTGAACCATCATCTTCTGGAGCTAGTAAGTGCGAGTTTCCCTTCAATTGTTTTCAGGAAAATGACTAACTTTCAAGAAAGCAACTTTCTGTTCGAATATGGAAAGTTAGGTATGCGAGGGAAATGCTCAGTTAAGGGAAATAAGATGCAAGGAAAGATATTTTGTGTGTTTCGTTTCAAGTGTAAATGAAAATGAAATATGATTACTGCTTTTACCCATCTTTACTACTCTTTCAATGGTCAAATTGCATCTTTGTTTTATCTAACTATCTTCTATAGCTTAAAATTATAAAGTTATAAACTTGTAACACTGCTTGTCTTGTAGAACTTTTGACGTAGTTTTTAATTTAAAACTTTGATTTGCTTAAATAAGTTCAAACAAGTACCATCTTTTTGTGTTTGATTGGGTGTTCTAGTTTCCCACACATTTTCTTTCCTTCCGAATTCCCTTTTCTCTCTATTTTCCCTCCATAGCATCTTCCACATTCTTTCCCGAGTATTTTCCAATATCCAAACATACACCTAAAGAATTAAGATCATTATTATACTTTGGGATAACATATTTTATAATATTGGTAAACACACGAAACACGGTATAACATATTTATAATATTGGTAAACATATGAGCCATTTAGTTGTTGGCTGACATGGATTATAGGGTCACCAGGAAGTGAGAACAGGCAGGAAGGAGGGCGGGAGATGTCAAGGTTGCCAGAATGTGTTCTCAGTGACAGCATGCAGATTATGCTGTCAATGGGATTCGGGTATTCACAGGTGATTGAAGCTTACAGCATCTTTGGAGAAGATGTGGACTCCATGGTTTGTTACCTTGTAGAAACCAGCAGTAGCAGTAGCAGAAGACGCAAAGGAAAGGCAACAGAGTAATTGTGGTTTCTCTTATAGATTGTTATTAAGAATATTGTTTTCTCTCATTTGTCGAACTATAAACTGCTGCTAGTAGTATTGTTAATCCAATCTACACACTTTGTTGGTGTATCCTTCTGCATTTGTGACATCCTCTTTGTTTCATCTACTAAAAGTCACCTCTAGGCTCTAACTTCCTAGTTCCTACCATCATCACATGGAGCACCACTTTCCTAACCTAACCTTTGTAGAAAGAACATCACAATCTTCTTTTTACATGTATTTAACAATTTATCCTGCTCTCTCTACCTTAGGCACTCCTGTCCAAGTGCTTAAGGTCGTGATCATTGATGTAAACACTAGCGAATAGTCTTAAGCCATGTTTTCTTAAAGGCAATTCCCAAAATCTAATAAAACCATGCATATTTGCGGATGGTAAAACTTGTCATGTAAATTGGTCATGGATTGCTTTATATAACAAGACCCTTCATGAATATAAACAAGAATGTTCTTTGGATTTTTTGGATTGTGGTGACAGGAACTTGGTTGACTTGTGAGAAGAGGTGATGTCCCTAGTTTAGGAATTAGGAGGCTATGTGTTGTACTTTTCTCATGGCCATAGTGAGTCAGTGAGCAGGTTTAGTTTTTGGAAATTTATCGAAATAGGAGTAAAAACCATGTGATATTCCAAAATAATTAGTGTTTTACCCTTGATAGGGGTAAATCATATATCTAAAATAGAAAAGTTGAACACAATATATTGTATAAAAGTTTTTTGTAGCGTGACTTAACTATGAAATTGTACATGGTGAGGACATGAGGTGATATGAAAATGGTTAAGATAAGAATAACCCAAGGGATGACTTAACTACTCCCTCCGTATCACATATATCTTCCCACTTCCAAAGTGGGTGAGATTAAGAATAGTGAAATGGGGTATGAATTATTGAGGGTATGACGGGAAGATGGTGAAATAATGTGATGGAATGAAGGATAAATCCAAAAAAAGTAGGTGTAGTAGTGTATTATTTTTTAAATAATTGAGGGTATGATGGGAAGATTTAGAAATGGGAAGATATAAATGTTACGTCCAAAAAAGGAAAGTGGGAAGATATGAATGTTACGGAGGGAGTATGAAATTGTACATGGTGAGGACATGAGGTGATATGAAAATGGTTAAGATAAGAATAACCCAAGGGATACTACATACGAAGTATATGATATATTGATATATCACTTTGCACAATAATCTAATCATTCTAATGAGACCTTTTGTGCCTAAAGAAGCAAGGCATAAAACCTCGTGAGATAAGTCCTCTCACTAATTTGATTTGAAAGAGTTTGAAATAAATGTGCAGACTCCGGACCCGTTTGGTAGCATGGAAATCGGCTGATTTGGCTGATTCTGCTGAAATTTATGAAGTTCTGGCTGAAGTGGCTGCATTGGCTGATTCTGCTGATATAAGAAAAAAATATTTTTAAAATATATTATATCAATAAAATAAAGAAAAAATTTATATGTAAAAATAGCTAAAATGATCATCTACTGTATCATCAGCCAAAGCAGTCAGAAAAGTAACTCCAACCTTACTTTTTCTGCTTATTACACAATTCAGCGCGCGAAAGCAAAAGTTACATGTTTGGTGAAAAAGTTGGCTGATAAGCCTGATAAGCCGAAAAACAGTGGTTCCAAACGCCCTCTCCGTGTATAAGAAAGAGTATAAGATTTTTTTAAGAAAATGAAATACAAACTAGTTGTAACTTGTAACAAAAACAATTTATAGCAATATGAGAAACCAAATTATAGCATTATGAGAAAATTTTAGTAAATGAAAGTTTTAAAAGGCAGGTGAAAACAATTTATAGCAATATGAGAAAATTTTAGTGATAAATTTTAGTGGTATATTTTAGCATCCTATTTAATATTTATTTAGGTTCACAAAGTTAGATTAGTGATAAATATATAAAATCCTCATTTCGACCATATGTACTCCATAGATGTCTTACAGATAAAGAATAAGAATTAATTAGAAAATTGAAACTTGGCTATCCTTCCTTGGGCAAGAAAAGATCCCATTTCGCTTTTAATTTGTACTACCATTGTCCCGTTGGACTTTGCCAAGTGCAAAGTAAATGAGAAATAAGAATAGTAAAAACTGTGTGGTTGAGATTTGTGCAAAGTAGAGAGAAGTGTGCAGAACCACAAATTAGTTGTTTTAATAGAAAAGTGACAAAGTTTTTTGGGACAACAAAAAAGGGAAAGTTGACAAAGTCCAATGGGATGGTGGGAGTATATTATAGTTTCGATAAGAGGTTTTTGATGGGGTGATCGGCTATTTGTTAGAGAGGAAGTATATTAGTAGTAAGGACCTTATTCACACAACGAAGAAATGAAGCCGAGTATGTAGAAGCTGATACATATATGAATTTGTAATTGCGACATTAAAGAGAAGAGAGCAACAATGACTGATTTGTTGTACAAATATTGAAATTAACTCAAAAGTTATACTACGTATACTTCAAGTGAGTTTTAACAAAACATTTTCTTTTTACAGCATAGAGAAAATTGTTAATCTTTGAGTTAAGTAAAGATTGTTGGAGAAATTCGCCGGATAAACCTGCAAAAATTCGTTAGAAAAATAATCTAGCTCGAGTCGCGTAAACGCTGTCCTCAAGAAAGTATTTCCGACTAGCGAAAACCTTTCCCCAAGAAAAAAGGAGCTCTTCGGCGTAAGCCGGTGACAGAACAACGAGAGTAGAAAATTATTAATCCAGCAAAGATGTAATATATATGGGGGTTTGAATTCGTAGCTACTACTGAAAAATAAACAAAGAACCGAGGATACACAACTTCAGTGGCAGATGAGCTTCAAAGCTAAAAGTTATATACGAAGAATATCTCATACGTCAAAATGCATCCATCTAGTATCGTGTATGTATGGACCCAACAACAAAATGGAACATTGATGTACAATTAATATACTTTTAATAATACTAATGAAAGCCATGTACGAAGTATAAAGTAACGGTTTTCAACGTTACGTTGGCACAAGCTAGATAATGATCACTTTATTATAATTATTATAATAATTAATAAAATTAACTCTAATGTAACGTGTGTATATATAGAGTAGCAATGTTAATAATGTTAATCGTAACTAACCATGCAGCCAACGTAGTTTTAGAAGAGATAGACATGAAAATGCTATTATAAATTAATGATATTAAAAGTTACCTGAACAACATTATTAAGGAAAATAAAAATCACTTATATTACTCCCCGTACAATATTAATAATAATATTTTATTCATTTGAAATACTCCTATTTTTCCAACAAAGATAACATACATGCTGAAAACGTTCAAATAAATGAGAAGTCAATACGAGTTTAAATCATGTATATTTAAACTCAACTTTAACATATATAACTCTAAAGCTTATTTTTATCCATTTAGACCTATAGCATAAACTAAGCAATTGAATTAAATATTTGTCCGTGCACCACACGGGTTAAAATATAGTAGAATGACAATGGGTGGAGCAAAAATAACGGACACAATAAGATATACATGATTTAATTGTAGAATAATTAACTCAAAAGTATAAAGGTAATGAGTATATAAACTAATTAAGTATAATAAGTACAAAGGTAACCAATCGTACCTAGTGCACAAAACTAGGGCGAAACTTACACACGCTTAGCTTTGTGCACAAAACTAGCATGAAACTTACACATTTCATATGTTGGTTATCAACTCAAACCTTCAAATTTAAACACACTTCAACTATATTGATCGACCAATTTTCTATGTTACAAAGTACGAAACATAACTAATGGTCTGCACCTCCAAGCTGAGTCATGTACCAATGTGCGACTTTGATTCTTTGAGCACATGCACTGTAGAAACGTTTACAAGTTTATGAAAATGTCATCATGTTATAAATGCACAAAAATACCATATGAAGATAATTAGATGAATTAAATAAATAAAAATATGATTTGAAACTAATAAGGAAATAGCATTCTTTTGTAAATCATCAATTACTAACCATGTTGGGAAATATCATGAATATGATATGGTGATATTGTAACCATATATGACAACTCTCTTCCATCAACTTTCTTTTAAAACCAAACATATAATTAATGAGTTCTTTTCATTGAGATCATTAAATCACACAAATTTCACGTGTCAAATGCAGAAGCGTTATATAGTATCGTGTATGCACGTACCTGAACTTTCATCATGAGTACGTTGTGTTAAGAGATGAAGTTCGTTCCCCCACCCAAAATGATCTATTATAGTAGAATCTGCCAAGATAGAGAGTTGTGCTAAGTTAGTCTATGTAGTATGGTCTATGTAATAATAATTATACATCAGTGTAATGTTGTTATGGAGATTTTATATGAACTATTTGGGTACATACCTTCACAAAGAATTGTTTCATCAATTGAAGATTCTGTGAAGAAATCAATGAGTGACGGAGCAGTGATAGAAGTGTTTTCCACTTCTTCATTATTGATCATTATTGTCCAAGGTGACACTCTTATTGGAAGATTTAGATATTTATAGGATTCATCCCACTTCACCTTCAATGAAAAAGATTTGAACATGAATAAAATGAATGTGGTATAGAAAATATATTGGATGTGAATGTAGAAGATTCAAATTTTGATATAAAATTATGTAAATACTCCCTCAACCCCTTAAAGATCTTTCTCTCTTCTTTTTAGGACACTCCTATTTAAATTCCCCTTTCCTTATGTAGTAAACAAATTCATCATAACAATTTACCCTCAAGTGGTTATGACTTTGTAACGTCCAACAATATCAATCCAAGTGTCAAATAGTATAAAATAGTAATATTTACCCTCAGAAAAATGGATATTTCAGGAGTGAAGCGAAAAATCATTATTTTCTTAATGTATGTTCTATTTAAACTAGGGAGGGGAGTTCTTTAATGGGCGAAGGTACTATTATTAATCATAGAGTATTAATTTACTTTCAAGAAAAAGATGAACATTTTATAGCATGGAGAATTTAGTTTACCTTGATACAACGCCATTCTGAGTTTGGCCATTTATTTGAATCAACATCTCCAACCTCAACAATATCACCATATGCCCTATTCAATGAGGCATAAATTCCATGTTAATCAGCTACATAATTTAAATGCATATTCTCCATCAAAAATGATCCTGTCCGAACTTTCGGACAGGATCCTCCGTCCGAACATCCTTGTTTGGGGTCCTTCCCAGTGAAATTCTTTTATGAAATTTTTGGAGCATGTTCCTCATCAAGTCTAGTTTGTTCATACCAAACTTCAGCTCAAAATTCAATCGGGAAGGCATTCAAATCATTTTGTGAAGTTGACTGCGTTATTATATGTATATTTTGATGCAGTCAACTTCAAAAAATGATTTGAATACCTTCCCGATCGAATGTTGAGCTGAAATTTGGTATGGACAAACTAGACTTGATGAGGAACATGCAAAAACAATTTCATCAAAAAATTCCACCGGGAAGTGTTCCGAATGGCCATGTTCAGACGGTGCTCGGACCGGGAATGTTCGGACCTGAACATTCCTCTATTCTCCATTCCAACAACTTAGCATACAAAGTATATTATAAAAATGTTATCATTCTACAAGAATCATTCACTAACATTGTGGATTCCATTAGATTAGGATACATATCTCTCCTCTGATATTCCATTGTGATTCTGTTTTTGATCACATGGTTGAAACAATAAGCCTTCATGTATTGCTCATACTGAATCAGAAACTTTGCAGGGCAAATCCTGTAGATTAAGAATAAAAATGCATGCATACACATTAAGAAGTATGTACACATTGATCTGTATGGAAACAAAATAATAGAAATGTATCAAAGTTAGAGTTACTCTACCAAGGGTAGTAGTATATTGTAAATGCAGTATTGGTACATAGAGCAATGTAGGCATTCGACAATAAGCCACGTATCATGCTAGAGCATGATATTGCCGGTGCCGGTAATTTTCTTGGATTTGTTTTGCGTCTGAATCCAACCCACAACTCATTATCGACGCCTCTGTAAAAAATACAAAAGAAAAGGAAAACTAGTAGTGTATCGTCTCTCTCTCTCTATATATATATATGTGTGTGTGTGTGTGTGTGTGTGTGTGTGTACTTCCTTCGTATTATATTGTTTGACACAATATTTAAGGTAAAAATTGTAGGGGTAATGAGTAGTGTAGAAAAAAATAAGAGAGAGCGGAAAAGTATGAAAGAGAATATGCAAAGTAGAAAACTTACCAAAGAGGAAGTGTGTCAAACAAAACATACTTCCCAAAAAGAATAAAGAGACTATATATTTATTGTGAGTGTATTCATAAAACAACATATACCTCACAAAGAAGCAAATATCCCCGGCCACAAGACTCTTCTGTTGGACAAATGTGTTCCAACCACCAAGAAGAATGTAGCGCTTTGGATTGCCTGCATCAGGATATAATTACCCAAGTCAAATTATTAAAATTTGAGCATCATGTAATAGTAAGCACAATGTACAAAATACATATTGACCTTAAGTATTTTTTTGTAAGTGTAATAGCATTTATTTCTTTTATCAATAAGCTCTAAGTGCAAAACCAACTTTGATGCACACCAAATTCAAGATTTGTTTGTAAACATTAGGGCTGGCAATATCACCCGCACCCGCGGATACCCGGTCAACCCGAACCGAAAATATGGATGAAAACCCGAAGAAGTATGGATGAAAAATGGATGACGGGTGGATCGAAAGACGGGGTGGATCGGGTGTGGATGAAGGCTCATCCAACCCATCACCCGACCCGTCACCCGTTCCATCCACCCACCCGTTGACCCGCATATAATTATATAATATATAATATATAATATATATTCTATCTATTTAATAATATATAATAATAATAATAATAGTTAATTGGTGAAACAAGGATAATTGGAGAGCTTCAAGAAGTGGCAGTTAAATAGCAAAAATAGTTTTGTGCCGATGCATAAATGCAGAATTTAACAACTTGAAGAAGTTTTATGTCTATTTTGTTTAACATTCAGTTTTTTTCTTTATCATTGGCAGTGAATTAATGATTGTAATATACTTAATTGCTCATGTTTTTGTTGTTATTTTACAATGAATTCTTAATTTTTGGTTCTTAATTGTCATGATATCTCTTTGTAATTTATTTATTTTGTTTCAAGTTTGAACATTTATACTTCACCCGCTACTCACCCGATCCACCCGATAATCCGTTCAAGATGGATGGGTTGGATGTGGATGTAATTTTTAATGGATGATGGACGGGTGGGTGGAGTATAAAAAATTAACGGGTGGACGTGGATGGGCCTCCACCCGGTAAAAATCCGACCCGCTGCCACCCCTAGTAAACATTCACAAAATTTTTAGAGTTAGTATTTTTCTCTCTTAAAAATGATGAGTCAGTAGTGTATTGACTAATTCCATTTTCGTCAAAACTACAATCTGCTTGAATAAATATGTCAACCTATTTTATGATTATTATTTAATTGGATATGCAATAGTTTGCACTTTGCACTACAAGCAAAAGAGAATTGTCACCCAAGTAACAAATTCTAACGAGATCAACAAATAATAGTTTCATTTTGAATTAAACATTTGGTACTCCCCCCCCGTCCATGAAAATTCTTCCCACTTACCTTTTTGGGATTTTCCAAAAAAATCTTTACATTTCCCTTTTTGGAAAGTTTGTGTGACTACAATTTATTTACCTTTCTCTTACTCAACTACAACCATACATTTCCACTTTATTCCCACTTTCTTAAACTTCAATCCAAGTCAAACATAGAAGATTTTTTGCATGACAGAGATAGTAATATGTAAGATATGTGTATTTTACATGATATCGTTTCGGTCATTCAAACTAGGAACCTATCAAAGAAAGAGTATTGTTCCATGCATGAGCTCTCCCAAATAATGTTTCTTACCCATTTAATTGATTAACAAAGTAAAAACATGTTTCATTATATGAGTTTGCATAATAATTAGAAGCATGACTCCTTATAATAAAAATTCATCCATCACATACTCTTTGTAGCAATTATTTTAAAAATATTAAGATATTCCCTACGGTAGGCCGTAAAGTTATTACTAATACTTGGGTCGATTAGAATGCATAATGACCCATAGGCATTTGAAAATTTTGAAAAATAGTTGGCTTAGATATGAAAAACAGTTGGCCATTGCTTAAACTCTTCTTAAGGATGCTATTGAGTTGCCCACACCTAGCTGCTATAAGTCCTACGTAGAGAGTTGAAGGTGTTTTAGGTCTTGATTTGAACTTAGGATGAAATTGAATTGAACTCCAATGAAGTAAGACTGACTAGACAACTTTCACCTTTGTCTGTGAAAGATAGGGCAGTAACTCCGAGTTGTTCTACCATTTCTGAATTTAATTCATTTAATTTTGCCAAAATACAGTTTGTATTATCAAAACATGTTCTCCTAAACTCGCATTGTCCCTTCCATATGAGTTTTTGAACTCTCTGGAAAAATTTTTGTGTGAGTTTGTTTAGTATACTTGTAAACATACCATTTATGTACTCTTGAACTCTATTTCTATATGGTTTTCTAAAGAGCCGATGAGGTTAAACCAACCTCATAGGTATTAAAATAAGTATGATACAATTATCTATTTTAATATGTATGTTACCGATATATGAAAGGGTGAATGACCATTGATCCCCATGTAAATCCTTTGCCATGAAACTCTTTTTATGCAATTCCTGGAATGTGCCCGGCTACAACAGTAAAAGAAATATATATGGAACTATATCTCATACAAAAGAATTCAAATCCAAAGTTATTATTAACTTTATTCTGTATGTAAATTTTTGTTGACAAGTAATTAAATAAAATGGTTAAGAAATAATTATAATAAAAGATCCCTACAATGTTACTTACCAATCTTGTAAAAAAATCTTGACCCGCTACCTTAGGGAGATGTAGTGCAGCAGGATCACCAATGTCTGATGGGTTGAGCCTTTTGAAGAATAAATTTGAACTATCGCTAGTCATAAAGCAATAGGATGGCACTTTTTCCCTAGATGATGAACTTTCTCCTTTTTGAGCGGTATTTGACTGATCATTTGATTTATCAGTGAAAAATGAGCTAAATGCTACAAATATTTGATACTATTCAAATATTTTATCAACAACAATATAATAAATAAATTCAACTTTTTTTTTACCACAGGAAGTAAATCTATCTTTGCAAACACTTCATCAGTTTTTGCATCAACCTACAAAAACAATGTAATCCATTTTGAGCTAACAGAAAAAGAAAACATATACAATGAGAAGAAACCTTCATATAAGTATAAGATTGATTAATGCTCTATATACCTGCAACTCAGAATGAACAACCTTGCAGAGAAACTTGTTTGGTAATTTATTAATATTTGCTACATCAGAATCTTCACCTTCAGTTGCTACAAGTGCTTCAGTCTACACAATACCTCATATCAAGTAGTCAATAAATGAGTAATAATACTTAAAGGAAGCAATATAATATTAAATCTATAAATAGTAGTGCTAAAAGTAAGAAATAATGGCTAATACGAAGTATATGACTGTAATATGGATGTTGGAAAGATGCTACTTAATATCCGCAGTGCTCATAGTACTAACTTATAATAAATTATGACCACGTTCAATTTTATTTGTTAATTTTTCAAGACCATGAATATATATTATTAACAACTTTAATGTCACTTTTCCCATATATTTTAGCTCAATAATATTTTAAGAAAACTGCAAAAGTTAGACCTGTTCAATGTGGCCTTGGGGAAAGTAGAAGACAAAGTCTCCTACTCTAGGCACATCACGTTGTCCAGCACAAGCAAACCACAGTCTCTCACGGTCTGCATAAATTTCATCTAGCAAATTAGTATGAACAAAACACTCTAAGATCATCATAGGTAAAAGTCAATATTTGTAATAACTGTGATATGTGCAAATGAATTCCATATAATGTAAATGTATGGTACTTTTGAATTACATGATGAGTTAACAAAAAATACTTCAAACAAAAGAACTCTACTCATTCTATCAAGATACCTACCTAGATTTTATCAAAAGATTCTTCCCCAAAACTAAATGAAAAAATCACCGAAATCAAATTTTCTTTATTTAGTTGCTACTACTTCAGAAAATAAATAAATGTATATCTACCTTGATCAATGCACCATCTCTGAGGACCTTCATTTCCAATCGGCTTTTCCATGGCCATTACATCTTTCCCTTTTCCCTCATATTTCGTCTTCTCCATCTCTTTTGACTAGCTTGCACAAATTAAATGGAAAGTGTTCGATTGAAAAATGAGTATATGGAGAAAGGAAGAAAGGATGAAAACAACCAGGAATGTAGAAATGGAACAAATCAAGATAACTAGGAAGACTGAGTTGATCTAACTATCTGAAGAAAGTAACAACGAAGAGAGATATATATTCAATTCACATTGGAAGTATAGACTTCTCCGCCTGGTAGAAATGAGGATAAATTTTACATGGAAGCATATGCATCTCCGCCCGATATATTCATCATGAAGTGTATGAAATAAATTAAAAAGAATTAAAATTAAAAAAATCAAAATATTAATTTGAATACATGTGTACAAAATGCTAAATTTAGAAATGATACCATTTTGACATTTGAAGCACTTAGTTTATTGTGAAAATAGAAACAATTAGCACATCATTACAACCAAATCTTTTTAATACATACACTAGGTTTGAAGGTTTCACTAGACTAAACCTACGCCTTTAGGAACCAAATCCAGGATAAGGTATATCTAAAACTTTTCCATCCCTCACTTTCAAGTATAGGTCAATAATTAAGAGGAAAATTGTTTTGTGTATTCCATTTATAATTGTTTATAGATTGTGTATATACAAATAATAATAATGTGAGTAAATTTACAATAAAAGTAGGATCTCGATACAAGGAAAGAGTGAGACATGTTCTGATCCATTGCGCTATTTTGTAATGTACTGGAACCCTTCCGGTAGTGTGAGGTTCTAATTTAGATGCATTTTATAGTCTCATCTTGGTACCATATTGGTTTGAAATGAAACATGACCTTGATTGCAATTAAATATCTCATTATGTCCCTTTGTCACTTTTGTAAGAATACAAGGTCTTTTTTATCACATTCTAATTAGTAGCACATTCCCAAATAAAAATGATATGTTATTTTACTTGAACCTGTTTTTGTAGCTCAAAAACTAGTTCAACTATGTGATAGTGTTACCTAAAGATCAGATGTACACATTGATCTGGATGGAAATAAAATGATAGACATGTATCAAGATAGAGTTACTCTACCAAGGGTAGTAATAGATTGTAAATGCAGTATTGCCACATAGAGCAATGTAGGCATGCATTCAACAATAAGTCGTGTATCTTGCTGCATCATGATATCACTGGTGCCATTAATTTTCTTGGATTTCTTTTTCATCCGAATCCAACAATAGTTCATTATCAACTCCTCTGTACAAAACAAAAAAGAAAGGAATTGAAAAACTAGTAATGCATTCTCTCTCTCTCTCTCTCTCTCTCTCTACACACACATGTATATGTATGTGTGTGTGTGTCTATCTATTGAGAGTATGTATATATAAAACAACCTCACAAAGAAGCAGATATCCCTAGCCAGAAGACTCTTTTCTTTAGTTGGAAAATGTGTTCCAACCACCAAGAATAACGTAGCACCTTGGACTTGGATCACCTGCATGGAGATATAATTACCTAAATAAACATATTAACCTAAAATATTTGAGCATCTTATAATATTAAGTACAATGTACAAAATATATATTGACCTTAAATATATAAGCCATTTCTCTCTTTCACTTGCTTAGTTTTGAATGAATGGTTTCGTTTGACGTCCCTGGTTATCCCAAATTGCTCAAGTCTTGATTCAAATGAGACAAGTATGGGAGAAATGCATGTCTGAACATTCAAATGAGACGACTATTAATATGATTCAGAATAAGGATACCTCAAATCCCAAACCATCCTTGATTCATGAGATAATTCTTCCCCAAGGTAATGTGTTATATTCTCGGGTTTGGGATCACGTCATGTTGCCACAACTCGAAATGGAAGCTTGGTCAGAGGTCTGGCAAGTGGGCTTCTCTATTGGCATACACAATGCATGGAGGTTATTAATGTAAGTTCACAGTCGAATGGTGGAAGAAGATCACAAATTTTCTCATATTCTCTATTCTAAAATAATGAAGCTAGAAGTGACAACCCAACGAAACCTTAACTTATCCAATTACTTTGCAAACATAAACTAATAATAATAATAACAATGATTATAAGAATATTTATTATAGTTCATTCAAAAAAAAAGAATATTTATTATAGTAATACCACTACTAATAATAATAGCAATAATAATAATAATAATAATAATAATAATAATAATAAAGTAGAGATAATCATCAACTACAGGATTTGACGTTGTCACATATGTCAACATATTTGTCCTAGAAAATCAAGCATGCCTATAAGCTTGGAGGGATAATATAAAGTTGAAAGCTTGTGATGGTTGATGGAGGAATGTGTGACCCATAAATAATCACATGGTGGCATATATGGTTGTTGTATCACTAACTTTGAACAATGAAGTAAAACCTACAATTGAACTTGCAAACTATCATATCTTCCTGTAACACTGTAACCCATTTCACACTTTCATCATCAATGACAACCACATTAAGGATTTGAAATTTGATTCTTATTTAAGGAGCATCAACAAGTAGTTGATTAGTCAGGATTATATGATTAGTATATTCTTTTCCAGGCCCGGTCCTGACATTTTATGGGCCCGGGACAATACAAATAGATTGGGCCTCAAAGATAGCGGGGAATGTTTATAATGTTCTTTGTGCTATAATTATCTATAATTTAAAATTATACAATTTTACCATCCAAAAGTAGTATAACACATAAAAAAAACTAACAAAGCACATGGTTAGAAAATATATAGGGTATTTGATAAGTGACATTTGAGGATACAATGTACCTAAGAGCCGAGTGAAACAAGTAGTGCAACTATTAGGTGCAATAAAAATTTTAAATTATGGAAAGTTGTGAAATTATATCTTGTATAATTAGGAGTAACTTTTTCATATTTTAGATCACATTTTCACTAGACAAAAACAAATTCTACGTTTCTAAATTATGGACACTAAAGTTCAATCTTTCATTAAATTAGAGAATCGGAGGAAATTTGTGAAATATATCAATAAGTTCTGGATATACATAAGACATGTACACTAAAAGAATAAAATTAATGCAATAATCCGTAATATAATGATTCAAAAGAAATGGTGAAATATGTTCTCAATGAATTCTAATGTGGATGTTTCGAAATTATAGACTTGTATCGTGTAGATGGTGAATAACTAATTAGAAGTATCTAAAAAATATAAGTTTGATTTTATATTTTACCTTTTATAGATTTAGGATGTACATATAATTAAAATAGTGATGTACACAAACACGCACACATATTTCAGAAATTTATGGGCCCTACTAGAGCAAAGGGCCCTGGGCGCATGCCCCTCCTGCCCATGCCCCAGGACCGGCCCTGTTCTTTTCTGAACATATTATTCGATAGTAGTTGCATAGAACTTTGCGAGAATAGAACTCTGTACTGATATAAATCAACTTTCATAGGTTATAATTTTGTTCAAAGTGATATATGTAGTTGCTTTGGTTGTTCTTATGTTAATCATTTTCATCTCACCATGTACTTTTCATATATAGATATATATCACACTAAAATAAACATTTATACATTATAATGTATCCACCTCATTTTAGAAATAGAAAAACTAGAGAAAGTGTCAAATCGGTCTTCCGTACGTAAAGTAGGATATGATGATATTTACATACTTCGAGGACGTAAGTGATGAAATTTAAAGTACGAGAATTTAATTGACTCTCCGTACATAGTACGTAGGGGAGCGATTTCACAGTTTTCTGAAAAGTAAATTAGTATTAAACAGAATCTATGACTATTTTTTTTTAGAAAAATAATAAGGTCTGATTCATTGGATAGAATAATACGTGAACTCTATTTCAATATAATATGGGTTTCAAAACTGACTTAGAATGTTTTTACTTAAACTAAAACTTTCTAGTCTGGTGTGATCTAGTTTGTTTGGTCTGAATTGGTCTAGTCTGGTCTGGTAAATCGCTGGTCTCAGTGTATTTTATAACCGTCAAAGT